CGTCGTCGTCGTCGTCGTCGTCGTCGTCGTCGTCGCAGCCGTCGTCGTCGTCGTCGTCGTCGTCGTCGTCGTCGTCGTCGTCGTCGTCGTCGTCGTCGTCGTCGTCGTCGTCGTGGGACCATACCATCTGGGGGGGGGGGGCCCGAGGAATCCTGGGACCATACCATCTGGGGGGGGGGGGCCCGTGGGCCCTCGACCCTGGATCATATATACATAGGTGTATGTTGCGCGAGCGCGCCTAGCTTGCCTCTCCCCTGATCCCTCAACCCCCGCTCTGCCCCTCATCCCTCCACTCCATAGTTGTCCGATCTTTCTCTCCCTTCGCTTCCTGGCCCCCTACCACCTCCCCTCGCCTTCTCCCCTTCTCCTGCCCCCCCCCCGTCCTTTCGGGGTCGGCCAAAAGGGGGGCGTCCAAGAGAGGGGGGCGCAAATCATGGCTGGCGGCATGTGCGCGGCCTAGGGGGGGGACGGAGACGTACTGAAACAAGAAGAGGCGCTGTGATTTCTGGGGAGATATCATGGCCCCCGCCATGATCTCCCCCCCGCCCCATAGTCAGCGCCCCTACCTTTGCCGCCTCCGAAATCATCATCTGACCTCGAGCAGGGGGGGCGGGCCGCTGAGCAGCAGTCTGCTTCGCCACTCCGGGGGTGCTGTCCACCAGGAGGAGCGGGCGGCCGCACCGGAGAGCCTGATATCATGGCCCCCGCCATGAGATCCCCCCCGCCCCATCGTCATCGCCCCCACCTCTGCCGCCTCCGAAATCATCACCTGACCTCGAGCAGGGGGGCAGGCCGCTGAGCAGCAGACTGCTTCGCCACTCCGGGGGTGTTGTCCACGAGGATGAGCGGGCGGCCGCACCGGAGAGCCTGCATGGCCTCCGGGCGGGCGGGGCCTACCGGGTGGCGACGTCCAGACCCGCCGCCCCCCCCAGAGGAGGAGGAGGAGGAGGAGGAGGAGGAGGAGGAGGAGGAGGAGGAGGAGGACGAAGAAGAAGAGGAGGAGGACGGGGAAGAAGAAGAAGAAGAAGAGGAGGAGGAGGAGAAACGATGGGTGGCAGGGGTGGGGTTCGGATTTCGCCACGTGCTCGACAAATGCCGAACCCTGGGGGTGACGGCGAATCCGCTCGAACGCCGTCCCCTCCCGGGGTCCATCTGGTGCAACTTTCCACCCGGGATCCGTTGTGGACTGTCCCACAACCCTCCGCCGAACTTACCGCACGTCTTCCCCCCTCCGCGCCTCCGACTTCAGTGTTCAGTTGTGCGCGCGGCGCGGTCCGCGGACGCCGACGGAAAAATCGAAGTCACCCGGCCTCAACATGGAAATTCGGGGGTCTGGGGGGCCGCCGACGCGGCGCGGGGAAACCTTGCGCCACGCCTCGCGGAGGGATGCAGGGCCCTTGTAAAAAACGGCCACCAGAGGGCCGCAAAAAGGGCAACAGAGGCCGCCCCGAGCCCAGCACCTCACCCCCGCCGCCCCTCGCGCTGCGGCCCCCCCACTACTCCCCGTTTACCTTGCAACAAGCTCCACATCCCTGACGGGACGACTCTCCATGCCCCTGTAGGCCACCCGGGGTCATAACCTGAAATAGGACAACGCCTGTAGCGGGGCAGTGCAGACAGCGTGCGCGACGACCGTGGCGAAGAAGCCGCCCCCTCCTGCTTCCCCCACGCGGCAGCTCGATCCAAACACTGCGCCAGCGCCTTGTCGTGGGACTTGTGCCTGCGTCCTGGGTCCAATCAAAAGCCTAAGTTCACAACCTGCTGCGCGTGAAGCAGCAACTGCAAAAGCGCCGCCTGGTCGCCCAAAACATTCGGTACGAATGCCGCCCTGGGGAGATTCAGGAGGAGGGCAAGAGAACCTGCCGAAGCCATATACGACCGAGTGCGACGCTGGCGCCGTGTAGCCGATGTCGGGAACAGCGGCCGCGATGTCGTTGGCGACAGCGCGGAAAACCACCCCTGGCACCACGGAGCGCAACCGCCGCAACAAAACGCCCACTGCACCAGCGACAATAATGGGTGGCAGTGGCACCCTTGCCGAATGCCATCCACCATGGTGCGCTGGCTGTGCGAGTAGAGGTGGACCAAGCAGCGCACGAGGCATTCTGGTAGGTTGGCTGCCGCAACGCCGCCTGGAAAAGCTCGTGCACAATACTGGAAACCGCCGCCTGGAGATCGACGAGCCAAGCGGCCCCCGCTCGCGCGACAGAGCGATGAGCACCGCTGTTGCTCCGGAGCCAGAGAGGTAGCTGCAGATAGCGGCCCCTCTGCGCACAGCCTCACCGCGTTCGCCATCGTCCTGTTGCCGATATCGGCGATGTTTAAAGGCAGTGCGTACGCGGGTGGATGTCAAGCGCGAACGTCTGGGGGAAGCCCGTCCCCACTCGAGAAGGACACAATCAGACTGGCGCCGAGGCCCCAAAAATAATCTTCAATGTGGTCCAGGGGCTCTGCCGCCGTCATTGCCTGGATAGCTCCCCATAATACATTCGAAGCCGAC